TGATGTTGTGTTTTTGACACTTGTAGTTGGACCATAGTTTTCCTTTTTTTTTTTTTTTTCATATTAGCTTGGTGGCCGGAAAGCTTTGATTCAGTGCAAGATATTTGCAACTGTACATATTTTGCCTTTCTTTCTTCCCCTGGGGCCCAGTATGCCAGGGGTTGGGGGAGGGTAGCTCACTCTGCTACGTGAAGTATACCATCTTATCCAAGAGGTGTTTCATAAATTATGTATAACAGTAGATGCCACTCAATAAATATTTTATATGTGATAGATATTTTTGTCTGAAATTACTTTTTCACTTGAGCAATGATTTAAACCCTCGTTTTCAGTTTTATGAGGTGACACTTTTATAATATCATGTAGTTGAATGCAGCTTGAATGTCATAGAGCTTTAGGGCAGCATTAATCACAAATTCATCTACCTCCACTCTCCATCCAGGAAAACTTTCTCTAAGTTCAGATTTTCCCCATTATATATATGGATGTCAGTGTGCGTATATGCGGGTTTTGTGCTATGTATGTGTGGTGGGGATGAGTGGAAACAAGCAATGCTTTTGACCAAATGATCCAAAGTTATGAATTGCCAGTGCTTTTCAAAATCTGTGAGACTTACTTCAAGGGGGAAAAAATGCTTTTCTATTTTTTTTTTAAAGAACATTAAACGAAACTTGGATATAGTCCAAAGCAATTTTTCTAGTTTGAGTGGGAGCTATTATCGTCTAAAATATTGCCTTTTCATTCTGAAGGGGGGGGGTTTATTGTCGACTTTTTAGCAAAAAGGAAATGCATATACTTCTGGACTTAGGAGAGCAGTTATTTTCCTTTTCACATGGACCTAGAGGCCTGAGACCATTCATTGCCAGGGAGCAAACATGCCCGTGTTGTCAACACTATATTCAAAGCAACCAACCTTCCAGTGGGGACATTATTTTATGAACTGCAGCTGTGTGATTAAATTCTGTACTGTCATATATAGCTTTTAAAAAGAAATCACATGCTTCCTATTTGTGCTTATATGTGCATGAATTATGACCAATATCTGAGCGGCAGGAGTAGGTATGGTTTTATGTACAATGTTCCTTTTAGCTAAGATTTGCAAGGGCCTTCATAGAATAAATCAAGGTTACTGAAGTCTACTGACCTCCAAGCCTGATATTCCCAGCCGTGGAATGAGAGCCTGGCTGATAAGAGGAGTAATTGAAGAACAATGATACGCTTCATTTCCTTTTCTTGAAACTAAGTTATGCACTGGTCATTTTCTCTGCATATCTATTTAATGGTTGTTAAATTAAATTGCTTTCTTTCAAGTGGTGATTTTATGTGTTTTTTTTAACCCACCTTCCCCCCTCCCCCCACTTCATTCCATCACCCTCTTGCATGACTTAGGTGTACACTTTAGGCGTACACTTGAAACTTGGATTTCTGTCTGCAGAGGGAGAGGTCTGGGAGACTTCTCTGTCTTTCCCTCTTGGTCTCAGACCTCTTTGGATTTCCTTTTCTGCAGGATTTTAGTTTTCCTTGAACATTGACTTGAGAAGTTCTGAATCTCTTACCTAAAGAACGGTAGGCTGTATGTTAACATTGCCATTCAAACATACTAATTTATCCCAGGAATAAAAGGATTAGTGCTTATGGCTCAGCAGCTTCCACAAACAGGGATGTGCCTTGGTCATTACTGGGAGGAAGAAGGATTCACTAGAAGTATCTTTGATTAGAGCATTTATTACTATTATTACTTGGAAATTGCTTCTCTATTACTTTACTTCCCTCACATCTATAAGCACAGAGTAGTGCCATGCTGTAGATGTGACTTAGTATGAACAGAATGCAGCTCAACCTCAAGTCAGAAAATGTTACTTTCAGTCTGCTATCTTCTGGAATTTGTCAGGTTCCCACTGGAAACAGGACTTGATTGCTCTGAGGCCTCCTCCTTCCTAGGTAAGTGCTCTACTTCAGCTATAACCCCAGGCCTTTTTGTTGTTGTTGTTGCAGTTATCATTTTGTTTCTTTCTTGGTTTTTGTTTTTGGTGGTACCATCCTTTGAACTCAGAGTATGCTTGGCTTCCTTGCTCACTGGCACTCTGCCACTTGAGTCATATTTCTAGACCTGCTCTTTGCTTTGGAGATGGAGTCTTACAGACTTTTCTGCCCACACTAGCTGTGAACTTAGATCCTCAGATCTCAACTCCCAGATACCTAGGATTACAAGTATGAGTCCCCAGCATTTGGGTTTGTAATTAATTAATTAACTGTTCTGGTCCATTAACTTGAACTCTAGGCCTGGGCACTGTCTCTTTTTTGCTTAAGGCTATCTCTCTAGCACTTGAACCACATTTCCATGTGTGGTTTTCTGATGTTTAATAAAAGTCTCACAATTTTCCTTCCTTGGCTGACTTTGGACTGCAGTCCTCAGATTTCAGCCTCCTGAATAGCTAGGATTACAGCTGTGAGCAACAAGCACTTAGCTTTTTGTTGTTGTTGTTGTTGGTCATAGGGCTTGTACTCTGGGCCTGGGCACTGTCCTTCAGCTCTAGGCAAATGCTCTATCACTTGAGCCATAGCGTCACTTCTGGTTTTCTGGTGATTTATTGGAGATAAGAGTCTCACGAACTTTTCCTTCCTGGGCTGGCTTTGGACATCGATCCTCAGATTTCAGCCTCCCAAGGAGCTAGGGTTACAGGCGTGAGCCGCCAGCGCCCGACATAGCTTATTTTGTTTTGAAGACAAGGTTTCAGTAACTACTTGGGTTAGACTCAAACTTCACAAGGTCTTTGAGTTATGAGGTCTTTGGTCTTGGCCAGTTGTGTTGATGTTTAGCTGTGGCCCTGCCAGTCTTTTCTTAGAGACATATCTCTCCTGTTATTTTTTTTACATTGCTCTGAACTCCATGTATCCAGCATTCATTCATTTAACAAGTGTCAGTTGAGAAGCTGCTAAGAAGAGAAACCAATTGTCACGAGGAAGGTTTGTGCTTGCTCTTTTGTGTAAGGGATGAAGAAGTGATGGGCCAAACGATGCCTCTATCTAGGGTAGTGTTTCTCAACTGGAGACTATTTTGTCTCCCAAGGGACACATGAGAATTCCTGGAGACATTGTTGGTTGTCACTATCTTGTGGGAAAGGAAGGTGTTACTAGCCTAGTGGATAGAAACCAGGGACACTGCCAAACAACCACCAGTAATCACAGAAGGTAAATGTCAGTAGTGCCAAGATTGGGGGACCCTGTTTTCAGGGAAGAGAATAGTAGTGGCAGAAGACATCTTGGTCTCAAAAGCAGAAGCAATAACAGTAACCTGCAGAAAAGAATGTTAGCCAGCAAATTTGAGGAATAGCTGGGAGCCCTGGCTCCCTAGATAGGAGTGACAAAGGGACAGAGGCAGGAGACTGTGGGTTAGGAAGTGGTAAGATTGGGTTAAGCTTGTAAAACATTATAAAGACATAAAATTGAAGGTCATTGAAGGGTCCAGCAGAGGACTAACCTCCTCTGACATTCCACTGGCTGCTGAATTGTGTATCTTTCACATAGGGGCATAAGTGATGACTTGGATTATTATTGCAGTATCCAAGTGAAAGGTGGTGATGATTTGAGACAGGGGAAGGTGATTGCAGGTGGTTTGGTGTCAGCAGATTTGAGGCATATTTTGAAGGCAGGAGTCAACACTATTAGTATAACATTTAGAGAAAGAAAGGACAGCCATAGTTATGGGTCTTAGTAAAGGAGGCATTTACCTGGATGGGATGGGAGTTGTGTTTTCAAATGTGGTAAGTTTGAGCTGCATATCTGGTATCCCACAAACAGATTGAGTTTGTGGGTATATGTACATAGGTATGGAATTTAAGGGAGATCTCTCCTCTGGTATTTTTTAAAAAGAACTTAGTATACTGTACAATTACAAACCTCTATTTCCATTTCTTGGAGTTCATTTCAGTAAGCATCATTTTATATGATCATATGCACATAGCTATTGAGCCCTCCTGATCCTCTCCCAATAGTAACCTCTTTTGGTCTCACTGTGTGAATGTTTAGAGTTCTATTTTAATTTATCATGTCCAGGTGTAATTTTTTGTCTTTTACTATCCATTGGGTGCATAGAAACAGTGGGACAAAGGGTGAAATAATACAGCAGTGATGCTCACTAGATACTATGTTGGAAATGAACTATACAACTTGGTGGGAAGAGGGATCTGGAGGGAATGACACTGTTCAAAAAGAAATGTACTCATTACCTGACTTATGTAATGTAACCACTCTGTACATCACCTTTATAATTTAAAAAACATAAGAGTCCTTAGCATATGGATGGCAAGTAAAGTCAGGAATGAGGATGAGACCATCAAGGGAGTGAATTGAGGTAGAATCCAAAGATGCCAGCCTCTGTTGAGTAGGTTCGAAAGAGTTGGAGAATGACACGTGGGAAGTGATTTTTCTCACAAAGGGTCCATAGAAATTAAACTGGTGGTAGCTAGAAGGTCCAGGCTCAAGAGTGATGATAGGAATAGTGGCTAAGGGTGAGACATTGATTGAAGATACGTATGTGGGTGAAAGATCCAGCAGAAGCAGACTTGGAGAAGTTGAGGCAGGAACTGGAGGTAGCTCTGGGCCCAAGAATGCCTAATCCCAAGGGTGCACAGAATAGGGTGCTTGCCTGAAACCCAGATCGAGTCACCTTAGTGTCTAGAGAAGAAGGGCTAACAGTGAATGAGAGTAGAAAGGTCAAAGATTACAGACAGTGATTCTAAAATCTTTCCCCAAGGAAGATGAGCTGTGGGACTGACTTCAGAAAAGTTGTATGTCAAGCTTTAATTTTATCTTAATATTGAGCTTTTTAATTGTTCCAAATTCACCTTGCCAGGTTTTCCACATGAAGTTTAACATTCATTTTCTTAATTTTTAAAAAAGAATAAGGTAACTGCTTTTCACAATCTTCAAGATAACTAATCTGAAATTCTCTTTCCACAAAATAACCTTTCCCTTTCCCTTTCTTCTTCTAATTTCAGGAACAAACCCTAGCCCTTAGGAAAGAAGGGATTGGCGTTGTTTTGGATTCTGAACTGCCTCATTTGATTGGCATTGATGACGACCTTCTGAGTACTGGAATCATCCTATATCACTTGAAGGTAGAAACTGCTTAAGTGGAACATTCTAATTTTGTTTCCACTTTTCCCTTTAGACTCTAGCAAGGTTTATTATAATACTTTATGGCCATGAATGCAACTTTTAAATTAAAGAATATACAACAAATCCTTGAGCCCTTTGAGGATTTTCAACAGCTTATTGGGATTGTGTGGTATTTGAAGTTCTCATGTTTATTTAGTTCTTCAGTTAAATGATGAGTCATTCATTTTTGGCTTCTGTTGTGTAGCTTCAGGAGGGGGATGGTAAGACACTAAAAATCAGAAAGACTGAGGAAGAAAGTTGCAAGTACCTAGAACTAGGATTTGTCATTCATATATATATATACACATACATATATGTTCTCTCCCTGATATATGACCTAAGATGAGATTGGTCTTACACTTGAGTTTTATAGTCTCCCCTATATCAAGCCTTCAGATACAAATAAACCCCTGACCACAGAAGAAGAATTGTTCCAGAAAGTATCAGGGACTCAGTGAGATGTGGCCATGAGCAGATTGTTCATTCATGCCAAGGCAGAGTTCTAACCATTGTTGATCAATGGGCCTCAGCATTGGTGCTATCATTGTGCAACACTGAATGGCATTCTCTCAGAACCACAGTATCCCTAACTGCACTGCGGCTGTGGCCTGCCCCAGACATTCCTTTCCCCATGCATCAGCCATCAGCCAGTTTGGGCTTGAATGAAGACAGAAAAGCAAGCCATCTTCCTGTTCTTATTAATAAATATGACTTGACTTTTCTTCCCAGGAAGGTCAGACATATGTTGGTAGAGAAGATGCTTCAACAGAGCAAGATATCGGTAAGACTCTTTATCAAGAATCTCTTCCCAGGGCTGGGAAGGTGGCTCAGTGGTAAAGCGTTTGCCTTGCATGCATGAGGGCCTGGGTTTGATTCCCCAGCACCACATAAGCAAAAAGAAAAAAAAAGCCAGAAGTGGCGCTGTGGCTCAGCTGGAACAGCGCTAGCCTTGAGCTGAAGTGCTGAGGGACAGCGCCCAGGCTCAGAGTTCAGGCCCCATGACCGGACCCCCCTCCCCCCACCAAAAAAAAAGAATCTCTTCCCAATGATTTCTAACAAAATCTTACTTGATGAAAAACTTTCTTTTGAATGATTGACATTGAAGTAATTTTAAAAAGAAAAACATTTATATATAATACTGGTCAGTGTGTGTGTCTCTCTAATTATGAATACAACTGAAGTAAATAATGCATGAGTTAATTTGTGAATAAAATGGAATTCTGTGTCCTTTCTGCCACCCTGCACATATTCTCAACCTTTCAGCACTTTCAGAAGTACTTAAACCGTTCTGCACTTGTTATAGTGGTTAGCGATGGATGGAAATAAGCCAGCAGATACAGATAAAGGGCTTCAGGCTTTATCAGGGAAGGTTCTCTTACCTGCCCAAAGAGGACATGTATTTTCTAAAAGTTTTTCTGAGGCCTACAGATACAAAAGCCAGCGATTCAGACTGAACAGAGGTCCTATTGGACTTTCCGAGCATCATATGGGCAATTTGTGGAGGAGGACTAGGTGATGGTGGGTGTATATGTGTGTGTGGGGGTGGAGGGTGGGGAGGCTAGTGGTAGGGAGGTAAGGATTTGTGAAACCCCTAGACCCTAAATTATTCAAATGTGTTCAGTAATGAACTTGCTTTCTTACCAAGTGTAAGCTGTGAATCAAGCTAATAATAGTTGTTCTATATGAGTTTACCATTTCCTGGGAGCCAGGGGAGCTGAAAATAAACCACAGAAGTTCCCAGACTTCTGAGTGGGCTTTGGCATCATGCCTCTTAGTTGAATTGTGCATTTGACCTTTGGAGTAGCTCTGAATGGTGTTGAGTGGGAAAAACACATGTTCCTGTGATGGTAAATGTTTGATAGTACAGTTCTGTAGAAAGAGTGGGAGCTATTTAGTCTGCTCTGAGACAGTGGTGAGAGCACTACCTAAAATCCTAGGCTAGGGGCACCCTAGGCTCAAGTGGTAGAGATTGTCCTAGCATGCACAGAACCTTGGGTTCAGTTCCTCCCACCCCTGTCCTCCCAAAAACAATCATACAGGTTTGACCAGAGTTCATATCTGCCATTCTTCAGACAGTCACAACCCAGATACTCAGAGGTAAGTAGGTGATCCTTAGCAACTTACTTAAAGCGAAAGATCTCAGCACTGGCATAGGCTGTGGCAATGAGCATCATAGGACAGCTTTTGAAGACTTCTTAGGGCTGCAGAGGTCCATGGAAAGTCACATTAACCTCTGCATACATTGTCTGTATGCATTATCTGTAAGCATGGAAGTCATGTCCCAGACCCATAGAACGCTTTTGCCTTCTATTTTTCTGTCATCTTTGGGTGACCATATCAGACAGAGAAACTTAGTGGTATGCCATTAAAGCATGTCACTGAACTATTGTTTCCCCTAAGAAAGCCGTAAGTTAATACTATAGAACTTTACTTCTTTACACAGAGGATATAGATCCTTTGAGGAAACCCAGGATCTGTTCATTTCTGTCAGTTGATGGTATGAACTATTAAAATTCAGTGTTCTTGCTGGGTGCCGGTAGCTCACGCCTGTAATCCTAGCTACTCAGGAGACTGAGATCTGAGAATCGCAGTTCAAAGCTAACCTGGCAGTAAAGTCCATGAGACTTTTATCTCCAACTAACCACCAGAAGTGTCGCTGTGGTTCAAGTGGTAGAGTGCTCACCTTGAGCTGAAGAGCTGAGGGACAGTGCCCAGGTCCAGAGTTCAACCCTACAACTGACCAAAAATACAAAACAAAACAAAAATGTCAGTGGTCTCACTGTCTGCATTCACTTCACAACCCTTTCATAGAAAAGAAAGAGTGTTCACAATGAAAATGAACTTAATATTGTAGATGATGATGATATCAAAGGAGAAAAATTGTTTGTTTTTCTTTCTTAGTCCTTCATGGCCTTGACTTGGAGAGTGAGCACTGTGTCTTTGAGAACGTTGGAGGAACAGTGACTTTGATACCCCTCAGTGGGTCACAGTGCTCTGTGAATGGTGTGCAGATCATGGAGGCCACACACCTAAACCAAGGTATCTGTTTTTTGGTTTTTTGAGTTCTTTGTATATATCCTTTGAAAAATAAGTTGACTAGGCAGTGCTGTACCTTATAGGCAATTACTGATTATGCATATAGAGTAGAGACTGCTTCATTATGCTATTTTCTGTTTTGCTGGAGGTCTGCTTTATCATAGCCATTGTCTTGTTAAATTAAACATGAACATACATGTGATTATCTAAAAGTTATTACTGTTAAAGAAATAAGAAAAAGATTTCTCAGAAGTTAAAAAATACATTTCACCATAGTGGTTTCTTTTCATACTTTAATTTCTATGTGTATATTTGTTTTATGAATAGTTATAATATGTACAGAGGATTTGGTATTGTGTGTTATAATTCCTTTGGAGTTAATTTCAATATTTTAGGAAAGATGCAAGAATGGCATAGGACTTTGAAAGTAAATGGTGCCCCTCATTAGTCAAGCTTTTTAATACTATAAAAATATTTGAGATGATCAACTTATAAAGAGAAAAGTTTTTTTTAGGCCTTAGTTTTGGAGGTGGTACCCCTTGATGAATTGGCTCTGTGACTTTGGACCTTTGATGGGGCAGCTCACCATGGTAGGACCATATCACTACCCCAAATTACTCACCTCATGATCAGGAACCGGAAGTCAAGAGGAAGAGCCCAAGGTTCTCCTGGTCTCCCCCACCTCTTAAGAGCATACCTTCTATGTTCTGAAGACTTTCCAGTTAGGGCCATTTCTTAAAAGTTCCACCCATTCCTTTCGTGTCATTCTGGGGACCAATCCTTGATTGCATGGGCCTTTGGGGGACATTTGAGATGCAAGCTGTAACAAAACCTCATAACCCCTCAAAATCTGGATGTATATTTTTTCTAAACAGTGACATTTTCCTATACAACAACAAAACTGACACCAGTACTATCATCTGACTCCCAGACACCATGCAAATTTTGCCATTTGCTGTTTGTTTCAACAGTGTTCCTTAGGGGTCATAACTTTCAGTCCAGAAGTGGATATTGTTGTGTGTGTGGGGGGGGGTGTGTTTGCATGTTTATTTTCTACATCTCTGTCTTCCTGCGATTTGGATCAGTTTCTTGGTTTCTTTTTGGGCTTTTATGAGTTTGACAGCTAAATCAATTTATCTCAGTTTATCTAGGATTTGACTACTATTAGACTTTTGTGTATATGTGTGCTAATCTTGGGGCCCAAGACAGCCTAAGTGCTGTCTCTGGGCTTTTTCTGCCCAAGGCAGCTCTACTTCTGGCTTTATTGGTGGATTATTGGAAGTAAGAATCTCATGGATTTGCCTGCTTAAGCTGGCTTCCACCTAAAATCCTCAGATCTCAGCCTCCTGAGTAGCTAGGATTACAGATGAGAGCCATCTGTTCCCAGCCTACTAGACATTTTTTATAGGAATATCAGAAATGAAGTTGTGTGATTTTTTTTCCTGCTATCTATTACATAGTTTCCATCTGTCCATTGTTGGCAATGTTCCCTTGGTTCCTTGATTAACATTAGAGCTGGCCAGGCTATTTCACTTTGAAGAGAACCATTCCCTTTTTATCAATAAGCATATTAAGAAGTTACTTTAATCATGAATTGTCTCTCTCTTCCAACACCTTCCACTGGTTTTGAATTAATTATTTTTATTTTGCTGAATTATTTTTTTGATGGTGGAAATGCTCCAGGTTCATCCTGTTCTGCAAGGTTTCTTTTAGAGTAAGAACCATTCGATATGGGCACTGCTTGGAACTTAACATTTAATTGTGAGTTTATTCTGCTATTCTGATTCTTCATAAAAAAAGGATTGCTAGCTTATTTAGCTTGAAGTAATTGTTTATAGAGTTATGTGTGTCTTGTGGATTGAGGCTTTTAAAGATACAATATGTCTGTAATGCAGTAATTTTGTTGTGTTTTCTGTCAATTTAATTTTAAGCTTTTATTTTTTTTTTCTAAATGGGAAGTCAATTTAAAAAGCAGGCCTATTTTAGTTAGTTGTTTTCCTGGTATTGGGGCTTGACATTAGCACCTTTAATTCACTTGGCTTGTTTGCTCTTGGCTGGCATTTTACCATTTGAGCCATGCCACAACCCCTTCTTTTTTGATGATTAACTGATGATGGAATCTTGTGGACTTTTCTGCTTGGGTTAACTTTGCACCATGAGCTTAACCTCCTAAGTAGCTCAGATTATAGACATGAGCTACTAGAGCTTGGAAGAACTAAAATTTTGTTGTTCATGTCACAGATCTGACTTGAACTAAGAAAGTGGTAATACTAATTGTCATTGAAGGTTAATTATCAGACTTATCTTACCCTACAGGATACTCCTAATTATTTTATTACTGTGGCGCCATGGTATTCAGATCAGATAGGCTTGAGTTCCTCTGGTGTTCTGCTGTGCTCTGAGCTGCTTTCTCAGTATCACTGTTAATGAAATTGACATAAAAATGCTTTGTTTGAAGGTGTTAAAATGCTGCACATTGGGTATAATGCCATTAACAAGTCTTAGGGCAATGAAATGCAAGATGACTTCATGATTCAAGGCATTATGAGAGAGCAGCAAGATGATAACTTTTTTCTTTCACTAAAACTTTTTCTTTTACTGATAGATCCTATCCTGGGGATGGGGGTGGGGGCAGGGGACTATCTAGTCTCTTAGGAATTAAAGGTTAGAATTCTCGACTTCTTATTTCTTGATGTCTAGGGATTATTAAAATGATAATTGGAACATGCTTTTGAAACATATGGTATATTGTGGTGAAGAAAATATATCATAAAATGAAAAGAAGTAGACATGACTGATACATACTGACTTTAGGATGGGGTTGCACTGCTGGAAAGGAAGAATGGTATTTGATCAGGCAGGGTTTGAAATCTATACATAAAGATTGGCAGCTGCAATTGTAAGGTTTTACTAAAGGGAGAAAAGGCTATAGCAAAAAGAAAATAAAAGTATATGGGCTTCACTAAAACCTAATAAATAAGTAATAGAATTAAACACAGCAGCATTTTTATATTGAAGACTATCTTGGCTTTTACCAATGAAATAATATTTTAAGCATGTGTACAGTCCTTTATTACTTAGGTAATTTCTGCAAAGTCAGGTCTTCTGAATTAGTAGTTGGCAGCCAAACCTCTTGAAGATGAATCTCTTGAGTAATTTCATCACTGCCATATTTATGTAGATAGAACATTGCACCAAAAGATTATGATAGACTCTTTATTATTATCAATCAGGGCCAAAAGGATGCTTTTACTCTGAAACTTATATAATATATATTATATATAATGTACATATATATACACATTTATATACACACATATGAATATGCTTTTCTATCTTATTTTTCTAAGCCAGGACTGGATTATACCCATATCTCTTGAGCATCTCTGATTTACTGGATTGATTTTTGATCTAGTACTCTTCTGGACCCATTGTCTTTTGGTCTTCAGAATAAGTCTTACTGGTATCTGGTCCATTGATTGAATCTATGAAAGGCATACCAGAAAAAAAATCTTTTAACAACATATCCAAGACCATTTCCCTTTTATAGAACAAAAAGGTATTGGACAGAAGATGCAGATGGGTTTTAACCTAAGTCAATGATTTCCAGTCATATTAACTCCACAATTGATTTGGACTTCTGACTCACCTTGCGTTATAAACAGTGTCATATATTTTCACTATGAGTTTCAAATTTATCACTGTTATAGTACTTGGTTTTCAGATGTGTCTTCATTGGTAGATTGCTTTCATAGATTTATTAGTCTGTCATTTCAAAAAACACAAGTTCACTGCTGGCTTACTACCTGTAATCCTAACTATTCTGGGGGCTGAGAGCAGAAGGATCTAGGTTTGAGTCTAGCCTAGACAGAAAAGCTCAGGAGACTGTCTCAAAAATAGCAAGCAAGAAATAGGGCTAGAGGCATGGTTGCAGGGCTCGAATGCCAGCCTAGCAAGCCCAAAGACCTAATGCCAGAAAAAAAATCACATGTAGTAATTACATCTTTCAACTAGTAGATTTTTTAAAATTTAGCATATTATCACCATTGGAACAAGGCCTACATATATAATCTACATGGTAAATATTGAGATATCTATCTATACATCTGTGTGCATACAGTATGTTACCCAAAGCCCGGCATGCTTTTCTCCTCATGTTTGTGGATATATAGGGTATGGGCCATGGCAGCTGACCATACTTTTTTCTCTTGATGTGCTTTCAAATTTCAGCTCACCTCATTCCTGTGATTCTATTACACTATTCCATGACAGGAATGAGTCTGTGGGAAAAGGAAAGCACAAATTTAACCAGGAGGTCTTGTCCCTAACTCTTCTTGGTCTTTGACTCTAGGTTTTTCCTTTTGTTTTTATATACATAATACAAAGTAGCACAAAATTCAGGTATATTATGATTCAAGAAGCGCCTTAGCATTGTGCTATAATTGCTAGGAACTATCTCTCATTTTAATTGTTTTCCCCTTTCACTAATAGGGTAACTTAAAGCTGATAGTTGTGAAATACAATTAATTTTTCCATTCATATCAGTGGACTCCTTTGGTCTTCTTGCTGGTTTGTCAGATCGATTGAACATTCATCCCTTATTTTAGAAGTGCTACAGAAACTGCATCTGGGAAATTCACACATAGGCACATTTGAATGTGTTATGCTTGAGTGCCAAAATATATTTGCATCTATTCAAGTACCCTGAAAGAGGGAACAAGTGATTGTCTGCAAAGCAGAGCTGAGGAGCCTTTGATAAAATTTTCATCTGCTGGAGGGCTGCTGTGAGTTGTTCACTGACAAATTAGAAAAGAGTTTTACTGGAACTCGAAAAGGAAATTGATCTTCCAGCACTTTAGGCAAGGTGTGATGTGAGTACAAGGGACCTTCACATCCCACAAAGAGCCAGTGGATACTGCTTTCAGTTTCCCCACGGGCTCACCTGTACTTGCCCTCCACACTCATCAGATGTCTTCCTCAAATTTGAGACACGAAAATATGAC